GATCCTCTTTGGGGAGAAGGAAAAGGTCATCATAGCTTTAATGTAATGTTCCAGAATCACGTTCCCATGAGGTCCGAGTTCAGGCACTTAGACACGAATGCCTAACCCAGTAATATGGGAGACACTGCGGAAAAGGGTGTCTTGGGTGAGCAGGGAGAGAAACAGCAAACAAGTCAAGTCAGTTGGCCCTCAGAGGCTTGTCTAGAGCACCAAGTGATGAAATACCAGATAGTGGGATGGCTCTCCACTGAAACAAAATATTCCAGCCATATTTTGCTACTTTCTATTTTCCTCATTAATTTACAATTCATCTTACACTCCCAAAGCCCATTTAGAAATTTACCATTAACTCTTGGGGGGGAAAGGATGTGTAATGATATTTTTGGATCTCTGGATTTTGTGTCAGTAAAGGAATAATTACTATTTAAAATGTATTTATTTAGAGGAGGCACATTAGTGTAGATGTCTAGGATACCACAGGTTTTTAAAATATTCTTTGTATGTTTATCTAAGTTGACTGAATACAATAGACCCTACTGTAGTTTGTCAAATATCACGGATTACACCATTTGTGTGGGATTAGCTGTAAAGTATACTGCTGTTAATCTTGTTCAGAATAGTGAACTGGTAGCCAAAAATACATGTATCACAGATGTTAGCTAGAATTTAAACAACGCAGTCCAAGTACTATAGAAGTTCTTCTGCTAAATTAGTAGACTAAAGAATATTATACCTTAAGCCAGTGGGAGCAGCACCTTTTCCTTTGGTAGCCAGATCTCAGGACTAGTGAACAGTGCCAGTTTAATACTTTGGATTTACAACTGTTCTCTGGTTATTGCAATACAGACTAATGTGAATCCCTGATTTCCTTAATGCTACTTAACGGAAGAGGGGGTAGTAAAGTGTGCACAGGAAAGAAATGTAGTCTTGTTAAGCAGAGGCAGTCCCAATTTATAAGCTGATCATTTTGTGAAACTTTCAGTTGATTATTTGCAACCTGAAATGTATTTCCTGTTACAAACGGGGCTATACATGGTGGTTAGGCCCCCAGACCAGCTAGAAAAGATGATTAAACCCATAGTTTAGCTGACATTGGATAATATAACAAGATTGTTAAAGAACCTAACCACTAAACATAATGTTGTTTCTAGGGGTATTTGTTCAGAGTTGCCAAGAATATGTCATTCCTGTTGTTAGTGGATTCTGGGTCGCCCAGCGCAGCGACACACACCTGCTGGATGACGGGCGTAGGGGCACCCCCATCTGAAGGCGACCAGAGTGGCCTGAAGCAGGGTCTCCAGCAGAGGAGGGGGAGGGCAAGCCCGGGGCCACCAGAGAACCCAGTGTAGGCAGAGTGAGAAGGAGGATGAGGGGCCTCTTGTGAGTTGTAAACCACAGGGACCTTCCTCAGCTGATACCTTCTTTTCTCTGGAGGTGACAGGTTTGGCCTGTCTGCTTCTCTGATAGGACCTTGTGCTCCTATAGTTCATCTCCTTTCCTGCCCACTGCACACACACAAAAGGATGTTGTTGCATAGCATCTCCCACATGCCAGTCAGTCATTGGAACCAGCATACAGCACTTGTAATGGGTTCGGTGCTAGTAAATCGTGTTTTCACTGCCCAGTTATCAGCTGGGGGTGGAAAAGCTTTCTACCACTTTCCTTTTTCTACATTTGCACATCCTGTAGAGAAAGGCGCACCTGGGTGATGTAATGGTTACAGGCTTGGGGTGGACAAAGGACTGTGGTAGGATTCCCTGGTGTTTCAGAGGACAGCAGAGACAGTTACCCCAGAATGGATGTTTTCCTGAAGTTGGACTCGAGCCTCTAGGCCAGTGGTTCTCAAAGTGTGGCCCCCAGAGCAGCAGCACCTGGAACTTGTTGGAATGCAAACTCTCAGGCCTCACCCCAGACCCAGTGAAAGCGGAAGCTGGGGGGTTGGAGGAGCTAACAAGCCCTCCTTGGGGTCACAGTAGCACTGAGCCAGTTAACTCCCCTTTGTTCTCCCATTAGTCCTACCCAGAGGAGGGTTCAGAGGACTCCCTGGACGAGAAATGGGAAGCAGGACTTGGGGCAGGAACTGGCCCCAGCCCGGGTGCCTCCTCCCCTCCCACTGGCACGGCTACTGCAGGTGCTTGTTGTATGGAGGCTGCTTGCACTTTATATAACTTTGGGCTGAGGCATAACGAGGACACATTTTTTAATGCTGTGAAAAGTGAGGTGTTACTGTGTTGTTGTGGTGGTTTTTTTTTTTTTTTCATTTGTTTGGTGTGTTTTTTTCAGGGGAGTTGAAAGAACAGACCCTTTGTAAACGCAGCCTTAGAGGAATTACTGAGTTCATGCCAGGATAAGTTCTGCAGAATGTTGGGTCATTGGGTGGTGATCCATCCTGTCCTCTTGTTAAAGTGAATTCCTTGCTGAGAGGTCTGCACTGACTGTGGAGCTGCAAACTGCTTTGAAAAGAATGCAGCGCTCAGTGTATCAGAAGGCCGGGCGGCACCGCTGAGTGGGGTGGGGAGGAGGTCAGTGATGTGATCAGATATTTTATGCCTTAAAGCAAAAGCCATTAGTTCCTCTCAGTTTGTCAATACAAACAGCTTGAGGCTTAGAAAGGGCATAAGGATATAATTCCTCCATTCCAGTGCATAGTAAACTTCCAACCACTTTCAAAACAAAGGAGATGCAGACTCTAGCATTTAGCAATGCTAACAACTGATTTCCTTAGGGATGGCAGATCTGAGAATCCTTTAGCAACAGAACATACGTCCTTTAAAATCCAGTTTATTATTTATGATATCAGGCTTTCAGGTACAACTTGGGGGTAGGTTGGCTAACAGCTAAAAAAGTATCACCGTATCTAAAAGGGAACGTTCTCAGAAAATACGTAAAATTCACAAGGCTTAGGCATTCTCTTTTTGGGTTTTCTCAGAGAAAGGGCAGTGAAACTGGGCCCATCTGTGTACAGGCTTGAATTTGTGTGTTTAAAGAAGTATCTATGCAGCTGAGGCTTATTGTAGGAAATACTTCATTTGTATGTAAATATCCTGTAAATAAATAGGAGGCTGTATATTTTTGCAGTTGTTGACTCACTGAAATAGAAGTCTCTATCGTCTGCATATCAAGAATAAAAGTTTTCATAGATATTAGTGGGGTTTGGGGGGAATTAGAAAAATTTACATTCTCTGCCAGGTAACATAGTGCTCTCAATGTAAACCTGGAATCTAAAAATCTTACTTAATTGTTTAGAAAGAGAAGTGTCGAAGCAATAGTAGTGTTGATTTCATTAAGATCAATCATTTAAAAGATATTAAGGTCAATTATTTAAAAGCTAGTCCTCTGAGCTACAACTAAGGAATATTAGACCTAAATTATTATCTATAGAAATAGATACACCCAAAATGACACACTATTTTTTCATAACACTCTTGCACTCTCAACACTGATACCACTGCACAGTATTTATAAAAACAAGTTGGAAAGGAGAATGTTTTTATTTTTTTCAAAATTGAATTGCTCCATTTCCCAAACTTTGGGATCTTGGGAAAGGGGAAAGAATCTGAACATTAACTAGGAGCACAAATTTGAAGGAGGGGAAAAAACACACATCACTTTATCAAGCTTTTGAAAGTCTTGCATGTTTGCCTTATATTTTCAGTATTGACCCCAAGACTGTCTTAAGTCATCTTTTCCCCAAACATGTCAATCTTCCTCATTGGGATGTAGTCCACTCTCGGGTCCGGTGTATTTCAGACTTCATCTAAGTCCAGTACATGCAGCACACCACTCTTTTATTAATGTAAAAACCTTGTAAATGAATTTTAGAGCAATGACTTAAGTGAGTCACAAGTCACCAAACTGCTATTCATGCTTAATCAAATAGAGGGTTTTTCCCCCCCAGGAGGTGGTGTAAATAAAGAAATGTAAGAGGTTCTGTTCTATAACTGTTCTATTAACATGGTTTTTAAACATTAAAAACATGAACTAAAAGTATTTATGAATTTTGTGTTTATTTGTGGGGGGGAATGCTGTACTAAAAGAGAGGGGCCATTGGAGTACTTACTACCCACACTATTCAGAGTTCTTGGGGACAGATTTGCACACATTGGTCAGCATTCTGGAACACTGGAAGCTTATATTTAAAATGTGCTTCTGATAGTGATCTATCTGGTCTGAAACATATTACGTATTTCTCCATAATCAGAGTAGGTTGACAATTACATTTTAAACTCATGCTCATATTTACAGGTATGCTTTGTGCTATGTTGTAGGAGGGACTCCTGTCTTCCTCTACCCGCATGAAAGCCAACCATAAAACAGGAAATTCTACCCCCATTGCTATTTACCCAGGAACCAT